ACTGGACAGCTCCTTGGGTTATCCTTTGTCGCTTTTTTTTTCTTATTATATTGTTTATTTAATAAAGTGTCAAAATATAATTTGTATATATTATCTTATTAATTTTATAACTTTTCAGAAAAAGATTTTATAGGGTGTTTTTAACTCTAGACCCCCTGGATCAGAAGTTGATGAAACAATAAACGAAAAATCAAAACATTGGTTGCCTACTTTAATTCAAGTAAAACATAATAAGGAAACTCAAGAAGTAAAAATTTTAAGGCATGATGAGGTAACCAATAGGATTTCAAATTAATTTTTAAAATATGATTATGTAAGTTTTTTTTTTTAATTTAGTATTAATGGTTATAACTATTATAATCTATGTTTTTATTTATCTACGCATTGTGTATTTTTATAATTATACTTATAATTTTATAAAACTTATAATTTCAGGAAAGTAATGAAGCAGAAGGAATAGTTTACAGACTCATTTCAAATGTTTGTCATATTTATGATTCTTCCTTTGGATCTACACTTGTTGCACATATAAAAGTTGGTAAACAATACCATTTGATTAAAGAGGTAATTTATTCATATACACTTGTTGCACATATAAAAGTTGGTAAACAATACCATTTGATTAAAGAGGTAATTTATTCATATACACTTGTTGCACATATAAAAGTTGGTAAACAATACCATTTGATTAAAGAGGTAATTTATTCATATACACTTGTTGCACATATAAAAGTTGGTAAACAATACCATTTGATTAAAGAGGTAATTTATTCATATACACTTGTTGCACATATAAAAGTTGGTAAACAATACCATTTGATTAAAGAGGTAATTTATTCATATATGCATTTTTATTCTTAAAGGTTAATTTCATGTGAAAGTAAAAGAATATATTTTTTAATGCATCTTTATATGCATTATTTATGTAGAAAGTTATATTAAAAACTTTAAAAAAAAGTATATAAAAACTTTTAAAAGTAAACATTTTCATCAATGGTACAAACATCAGTTATAAAGTTTCATATCATTAATTACTCTGGTTTATTTTCAAGTTTTTTTAATCTGTTTATTTAAAACATTTTCACAGAGTTTAAAATGTTTTGCCTGATCTTTAAATCTAAAATCTTTTGGTAAGTTGTTGTTAGTATCAGTTGTTGCTTAATATATCTTTTGTATAAAGTTTTGAAACAAGTATCTTTCCATTGATTTATGAAAGTTGTAAGAAATAGAAATCTGAATTATATTAACAAATTATTTTGCTTTTTTTTTGATTCTGTTGTCAGGGAAAGGAACAAGATCACTGGTATCTGTTTAATGATTTTGCAATTGCACCAATATCTGAGGTATGTTTTAAAAAATTACATTTTTTACTAAAAAAAGCTTAGAGTTATTACAGGAATAGTGCCACATGTACAGAAATGGTGCCACATGTACAAGAATGGTGCCACATGTACAGGAACGGTGTCACATGTGCAGGAATGATTCCACATGTACACAGGTCTTATACATAAACAGCTGCACATAAAAAGAAATAAAATCTTTAAATATTTTCTATGAATTGCTTTGTAGTAATTAAAAGGTTTTATTTACTAAACAGTAACTGAGTAAAGTTGCAATGCTAAAATATTAATTTATTTTTTATTCAAATATTTTATTATTTACTTGGTTCATTAAATGTTTATTACTTTTTATTTTATTTACCATATAAATTTATAATTTATATTTACCATATAAACCTAGCAAGTTTTAATGTTTAATAGAAAAAACGAATATTTAGTTATTTATAATCATGAGGAAAATAGTGTAAATAAAATAAGAAATTAGTCAACTCAGACTGTTGTTTAAAAATGAAAAAGTATGATAGCTTGAACTATCCAATTAGTGTTTGTGTTCTAGGTTTTTAAAGAAAAATGTTGTCATAGTTAGCTTTAGAATATGTTACTTAGGTTGTCATAAGCTCTGTCGAGTTCATTCAAATTTATTCAAATTTTGATTTCTTGAATTTAAGAAATCAAATTCCAAGTGGTCAAAATTTAAGTCAAATTCGAACTTCAAATTCAAGTTTTTTCAAATTTTGTCAAATTAACATATCATTTGAAAAAAATGTTTTAGCTAAAAGTTTTATTTCAACTTACGAGGAATTTTTTTTTCAACTTTTTAGGAATTATGAATTATATGAATTATATAGATTATAGCTTGGACAATTATAGCTGTGGCGCGCCACAGCTATAATTGTCGCGCTGTGGCTAGACCTTTATACTCATAATCTAAATATTATGAGTTTATAACATGCTGGAGCACATAAGCGTTGTCCATTAAGTTTTAGCCATTAAGATAATTATGTGGCGGTGCTCTGTGATTGACTGTCAGGTTTTTTTATAGTTTAAAAAAAGAAAAAGAAATATTTTTAAAAAATTTGAATAAAAAAAGTGACAAAAAAAACTTTTATTCTTTTCTAGTTTTATAGAGTTTTTAAAAAAATTATCAATGCGTTGAATATATATGAGGTTCCATCTCTGATGCTTGAAAGAAAACTGTAAGGACTAAAATACAATTTGCTCTTTTTTCCTATACTACTAATATCTCTTTCAAATTATTAAACTCTGCTCCCTTGGCAAAACAAATTTTGGCTGAGTCTTCCACTAAAACTTCAAGTTTTCCTCATCAAGAACAGGTTTCACTTTAGTATCTCCTCCTCAAACCTACCTGTTCAAATTCCTCTGATGTAAGGATACTATCTCTCAGTTTAGGATTAGTTGCCTTGCTGAGATTTTCCCAGACTTTTTCAAATACTGGCCTCAACTTCAGAATAGGCTCGATCATCATCAAGTTAAATAGACTCTATCATCATAAAGTGGGGATTCCAGCAGGTTTCAACAGGTGCAATTATCTTTACAAGTTCAACTGAAAGATATATTGTTAAAGGGATCCCTAACTTCCAAGAGAAGTTGTGTTCATATTAAAGAAAATGTTTAAAAAAAACATTTAGGCTAAATTTTTTTGATTAAAACTATATAATGAATGCACACCATTAAACTTAAAATTCACGTTTTAGTCGAAGCTCTCTGTCTCCATTTTTTTTGGTTCTCGGAGTCTGTATAATGTTAGCTGCAATCTGCAGACTTGATAATTTATTCCAAAAAAAATCTGTTATCAGTATAACTTATTACTAAATCCCAAAAAAAATTTATGATGCAATTAAAATTTAAATTTATAAAATTTACAAAAATAAAAATTTAATATATAACAAATATTTACTGTGAACGCAGTGGTTTAAACTAAATATATACTATATACTAAAAGAATAATTTTACAAAAGCGTATAAATCAATTTAAAGTATAAACTAAAAAAAAAACGATTGACTTGAATAAAACATAAACTAAACTAGGTAGATAATAAATATTAAACGACTTATTTTACTAATAACCGTTTAAATCAAACTAAATTAAATTGTACTAAAATATACAAGAAAGTGTATAAAATATAAATATAAAAATAGAGAATCGCATTAAATTGTTTGCTACCAGCCAAACAAAAATCTTTTTGTAGCAATTGCACATTTATTTGAATAACATTTGAATAGCTTAACATTGACAATTAATTAAAATTCGATAATAATAAAGTTTTTAACACGCATCATTAAACAATAATAAAAGTAAAGTGCTTGAAACTTTTGTTTTTGTAAGTAGTAAATAAAACATAAAGTCCAAAACAAACCTCATTTAATGAATAAAAATAACATTTTTTCTTCAAAATACTTTGGTAATTACTTAACTAAATACTTAACACTTATATTAAGTTTTACAGTCTTAATGCTGTTTTATTTTATAACTAAATTTAATGTTTTTTTTATGAATTTAAGATTTTTTAACTTTGTGATAACTTTTTTATAATTACACAATATAGCTCTTATTTTTTCTTAATTACGTAGAGAATTAATTAAACCTTCTAAACAAACAAATTCTATGTGTCTAGAATAGAGATTTATGTACAAATCAAGATAAATTGTAAAGCATACTCGAAAGCCGCTACCAGTGGCTTGCGGTAGTGAAAGAGTTAAACCATAACTAAATGTAAATTAAACATAAAACAAACAATTCTATTGAATCATATGAACTAAATATAAAGCGAAAAACTGCATCATACTGCCTTTATTTTTTCTCTGCCTGCAAACTCTAATAATCACAAAATATGTATAATTGTGTCATGATTTGGACTGGCTTCTACAACAAAGTAATAATAAAAAAATAATTATATCTTTAAAAAAACAACAACAAAAAAACGCTATCTCAAAAAGATATTGCGATGACATCATATACCGAAACTACTATGAGTTAAACACACATTGAATAAATTATAAAGTCTGCAGATTACGGTAACATTATAGAGACCCCAAGAACCATTTTAAAAATGGAGGCGGCAAGCTTTGACTAAAAAGATAATTTTAATTTTGTTGGTATGCATTAATTAAATTTGTTCAAAACTCATGTCAAACTCAGTTATAAAAAATGGTTTCGAACCAGCCAAATTTTCTCATTTAAACCAATGTTGTAAACAAGTTTGACTCTATGTTCCATTAAATATTATTAAAAACGTTTAAAAAAAAAATTAATTACCAGTTTCATTAGTTGAATCATTCTTCCATTGATTGTTCGTTCTGAGGCATTCTGTCCTGATCCTTTGTTGGTCAATGCTACTTTTGTGGGTTCTGGATGACAGTTTTTTAATGCATAAACAGCGTTTTTCTACAGTCAGTTGGGGGATAACTGTTAACCTATTTGCTGCTTTATTGCTTGTACAGGTCTTGTCAACATTAGATGGAAAGTCTGCCATCTCTATAACTGTCTTGTCAAGGTGTTTAACAATGTTTTGAGATGTATGTCTAACCTCTGCACTTCCACAATACACTAGAAGCTTCTCTAGGGTTTTTTGAGATATAGTAAAGCGTTAGGCCAAGGTGTAGATAAAAGTTCCTAAACAATTAACTAATTGTTCATTTAAACAGTTTGTATTATTATTTAAATTATATTATTATTTAAAATTTGTATTTTATTTACAGTTTTTATAGGTTTCTATAATGTAATGATTGCTACACAAACAATTCTTTTTAGACAATTAAAAACGATTTGCATTATTCTTTTTGGACAAAAATTAGCCTTTTGTGTATTTCTTATAGACAAGTTCCCTAAAGTATTTTTTCCACTAGATGAATTTCTTATTTGAATGCTTATTATTCTCAAAGTACTAAACTTTTTTTTAACAAAAAAAACTTAGTATATTTTTATAATAAAAAAAAATGGAGCTGATAATAAATTTTGAAATTAAATTTGAAGCTTATATTTGAATTTCAAATTTTATCAAATTTGTATCCAATTAATTCGAATTTGGATCTAAAACTGGATTCGAATGTAGATCTTAAATTTGGCAAAACTAGATTTAAAATTTGACATCGCATTCCGAATTTAGTTGAATTTTTTCAATTGGAATTTGAAATTTGTCCAAGCTTAGATTGTCATGGTCAATTTTGCATAATTTTCTAAAAAGTTTATCTTTATAATTATTACAAATAATAACCATGCTACTAAACAACAGTCTGCTATTCAGTAGCCATGATATTTATTTTATTGAGAAAAAAAGCAATAAAGGGATATATAAAATATTTAAAATTTAAACAGATATTTTTGGAAGTGTTATTAATTTTTTCAGTAATATTTATTTTTTGTATAAAATACTAATATTAGTATTAACATTTATAACAGCAATATGTTTTTCAATTATAAAACAAAGAATAGTTTTATTCATTTTATTATAAAAGTTTTATAATATAAAAAAGTTAGCATAGTTGGCATTACCACAAGATTTTATTGTTCATATTTTTAGTTAAATGTGTTTTTTTTATTAGATTTAATTAATTTTTTAAAGTTGTTTATATTTTAGAATGAAGCAGTTACTTTTAACCTGAGTTGGAAAGTTCCATGTATACTGATGTATGCTAGACAAGATATTGACACACTGCATAACATAGAAAGTAATTATTTTAATAAATATTCTTCTTGTTTTTGTGTGTTTATATATATATACATATACATATACATATACATATACATATATATATATATATATATATATATATATATATATATATATATAATATATATATATATATATATATATATATATATATATATATATAGTTGGAAGTTACTGTATGAGAAAATAAGTTTGTAGAGTGAGATAACGGTAAACAGACAACTTAAAAGATTGCAGATTGTATGAATTAGGAAAACAAGATGAAGGAGTGATTTTCAAAGAAAAGATGTTTGAGATTTAAGATTTAAGAAGTCTCAGTAAAGGGATGAGACTTAATTGAATGACAAGTAACCCAATAATGAATTTCAGTAGATGTCACAAGATAGCTCTTAAGAAGAATAACCATAACAGTATTTATAGGAAAAAAAATCCATATTGATGATCAGAAAATAAGTTATTAAATTCAAGATAAAAGATTAATTGTTTGTTAATTACGAATAACAGATGGACATTAAGACTCTGATAAGCACTTGTTAATTAGTTTTGAAAGTATAGACATCAGCTCCAGGGAATATTTCTGCAAAACTATAGCAGGTATGTTGTCCGGACCACAAGCCGTAGAAGAGTCTAAGCAGGAAATCACTTTAGGTACAGAAGTTAGAGTGATACGAATGTCTAGCACTGCAGTAGAATGCAACCAGTGGAATCAAAAGATGATATTGACGAGAAGCTCTTGTCTTTAGGTGAGGTGAAAAAATTTGAACCATACAAGAAAGGTGGAATAACAGATTTGTTCCTATTATAAATACTGTTAAAGATTCTCCAAAAGTCATGAGAACCTAATTTTTGAGATTATACAAGATTTTATGACCTTATAATATCGGGCTTTAGGATTAGACAAAACCTTTTTACAAAGGTTTCTAGTAGTAGTAAACAGGCGCCTGTTTTTTAGAGAATTATTTTAAGGAAAAAGTCACAGTCAGCTTTAAGGTAGTTGTACGTACAGTACGATGATAGGGGAATTCATGCAAGTTGAAAATTTGACTACTTGTGTTAGAGATTAAGAAAAGCAAAAGTTGTGGGCCTTAACCCTTGCAGAGTCACTGACAGGTAATTCAGTGTGATGAGCAAATGAGTGTGATGGCTGAAGGACAAAGAAAAAGAACAAGTTCAGTTTGATCAGAAATAACAGTGCAGTCTTGAGATGAAGGAGAGCAATATAGAACAAGGACAAAGGCAATAGAGTGAAGTGGTGTTAAATGAAAGCACATAATGAATAGTCTGTGGATTTAAACCTAGTTACCCAAATAATGGGTTAATTCTTATGAATGTAAATGCCCAGGCCAAGCATGTGACTATTGGAGTCTTTATAAATTAAAGGAAGATAACCATCAACACTAAGATCACAAGATGAGACAACCGAACTCAAATTATTTTCACAAAGTTCAAGTAGGTCTGGTGAACTTTGCAAGAGATAAGACTCAACAGAAGAAAAGTTACTTCGAAGACCATGATTATTAGTGAATGATAGATTTAGAAAACTTGGTGAGAGTGATGCTTTTATTGTGTTCTATAGTTTTTGGTACTTTAGTCATTTTTAAATTTATTAAAGAACTCGACTCAATGCACAGATAGTACTCAGTACACTATTTAATAGTCCAAGCAATTGCCTCATTACTAACTATAAACCCTAAGCTGTAACAAAAGGGTCCAAATGTGGCCTTGTCAATTCACACCAAAATTGCTAACACCAGGGACACTTTCCATGTGCAACATGGCACTGTTAGTACTCTGATACTTTACAGGAACCAGCCTCTCTGAGAGCTACAACAAAGTTCAGGAAAATCCGCTCTTCATAAATGATTGAAGTTCTTATTTTATTTTTACTTTAATAAAAAGTTTTATATATTATTTTAATAACAACATAATATTTCCTGTAATTAACTAAAAAACATTTTTTGTTTCGATTCTACCTAAATTTTCTTTTTTTTTTCCTTATTTATTTGTAAATTTTTGCTGCAAATTGCAAAAAATGAATGAGTGATTTATTAGATAGATTTAAAATTACTAATTGCGCATCAGTGCTTTTTTTGCTTCAAGAATTATATATACAATTATTAAAAAAATAAATATATATTGTAAAAATCTTGTTTTATATAAAATTTTTAAAATAGTGTTTTATAAAACAATTGTCTTCTTAGTATTCAGTTTAAACATTACCTGCACATGAGAGTTAATAACTGCTAATATTAATAATATAGCTGTTTTTAAAATAATTTTAATAAGCTCATATATAAAATGTTCAGTCATTTTTCTTCTTTAAAGTCATTAATTTTAAATTTTGATGTTTTTATTTAATTTTTTTTTGAAATTGTTAACTAAGAACATTTTCTCTGTACTATAGTTTTAGTTTTTTTTTTTTTTATTATAACTTAGTCTTTTCATTAATTTAAAAATATCAATTGCACATTTATTTGTTTTTCTTATGCTGTTTATGTTATAACATAATAACTGCTATATTATATAATTTATTGCAATTATAACAATATGTTATAACGTAATATATTGTTATAGCTAATTGTTACATTAATTGTTATAGTATTATGTTATAGTACATTTCATAGTATTAAGTATTCAGTTTAAGTTTTTTTAATATATTTAAAAGATTGTTTTCATATTTAAAAAAAAAGTTAACACTACACCCTGACAAATATATTTTGGTACAAACAAAAATACTTATATCTTTTTTTTTAAACAATATTTTAAAAAACTTTATTTAGAATTTAAAAGTTGACATAATACTTAATAAATTATAGTAAATTTTGGAATAACTTTAGCTGATCATCAAGATCAGCTTCAATCTTCTTTCAAAATCATTGCACGCGGCACGCACAGTTTCCAATGGCATTTTGTCCCAAATTTTGCTAATAACTTTTTTAAATTGCTCCAAATTTGAAAACTTATAATTGTTAAGATTAGCTAACATGTGAGACCATACAAAATAATCAAGTGGATTGCAGTCTGGTGAGCTTGGAGGCCATTCTTCTTTGGTTAAAAAATCAATCAAATTTTCCTTACACCAAGCTTGAGTAAAGATAGCCATATGAGAAGGGGCTCCATCTTGTTGGAAGCAGTAGTAATCTTCTCCATACAATTTTTTGGTGTTCGAAAGCACGTTTTTCTCCATCACTTCTTCCACATAGTATTTTGCGTTAATTTTTACACCTTTTTTGATGAAAATCAATGGCAATTTACCTCTTGGACAGATTGCACCCAAACCATTACAGAGGCTGTATTTTAGAATCTTGGAACATATCTTTTGTGGTCTGGGATGTCCTCAATTGAAACAGACCAGTTTTTGTCATTTTGGGAGTTGTGAGATTGTTGCAAAACGAAAAGTTTTTCATTAAAAAATATAATTTCATCACCTCCATGCCAGGCCATGTGTTTTTTGCTCTTTCGACGCGTTTACACTTTGATGGTTTGAAAATTCCATGAACTTTGCGTTTTTTGAAAGGCTTTAACTTCAAATCCTTTTTTAAAATAATTCGCACTGTTTCACGGTTCTTTCCGAGATCTTTTGCTACTTTCCTGGCAGATCGAGCAGAATTTTGTTGAATTTATTCTCTGATCACTTGATGGCTTCTGTAGCACTTACAGAGCATTTGCGTCCCGATCTTGGGCGGTCAGTGGTGTATCCATTTCTTGGAAGCGTTCAATGGTACAATAAACCATATTTCTGGTGACTCCATCACTTTTCAGGGCTCTAAAAATGTCCCCATGAGACTTTCCTTTTTTAATATATTTGTCATGGTGTAAATTACTTGATTTAATTTAAAATTTTTATTTTTAAAGGTATTCTAATTAGTTAATTTTTAAGCATTAAGTTATTAAATTTGCTAAAAATGTTATTCTTTCAATAATTAAAGAAAAAAAACTAATAATGTTTTCATAAAAACTAATAATGTTTTCATAAAAATTATTATAGTAATTTGTCTGTGTTACATTTTAAAAACACTAAATGGCAGACAGTGTCAAAATTTAAACTTGTATGCTAAGGGTTCATAAACAGGCCACCCTGGATGAATACCCTTTCAACAGGAACACTGCTTGCAAGTACCACAAAAGTGGTACTTGCTCTCTGTTATTAATTTTATCTATTTCGTACTAATTTTGTTCATATATTTTAACTGAGGATGATTATGTTGAAACTTGTTTTTTGTTTATGATTATGCAGGCCTTGTTTTAAATAAAAAAATGCTTAACGCATTAGCTTAACGCGATATTTGACGTCATAAAATTATCTTCATTTTTTTATATAGACGTTAAGTGTTTTAACTACCGCAATAAATAAATAACAGTTCAATTTAACAATTAACTCAAATAACTATAAACGTTTTAAATGTTTAAATTTATAATAAAAAGTTTGTAATGTTTTCAATTGTTATTTTATTATTAATTTTAGTTCAATATTATTTAGTAAATATATATATATATATATATATATATATATATATATATATATATATATATATATATATATATATATATATATATATATATTATATAAAATTGCATTAAATAAAAATATAACAAAGTTTTATTTGCTTTGAGCATATTTTTGATACATAGTTTAGAACGCGTTTGCCAGGAATTTAGTTCATAAATATTTTATGTTATTGTAAAAATGTTAAACAAATCACATTTTAAACAAATCACAAAGAAACAGAGCTATAGAGAAAAATCGTTTTTAACAATTAAATCTTTTTTTTTTTTAAATTTCAGGAAATTAAAAAAAAAATTAAATTAAATATAAAAGTCTTAATTATGCAAATTTTTTTGTTAATTATTCTTAAAACAAAAAACAAATACTTCTACACAAAACTTTAATCGTGCAAACTTAAAAAATTACTCAACTAAAATAATATAAGTATATTTAATAATTTGAATCGTATCTGTTTATAATAAATGTTCGTAAAAATTTGTTTATTAAAAATTAAGTTCCTTAACTTATAAACAAACTCAAAAGTATTTTCATTCTACGTATAATTACAAAACTCTTTTTTTTTTCGTTTGTAAGCAATTTAACTTAATAAAATGAAAAAAGAATAAATATGAGGTAATCTTTGTTAAGAACAAATTCAATTTATTTATTAAACTATATTTTTATTTTTATTTATATATCAACTTAAATTAAATATAATAACATGTTAAAATATTTTAACATGACTTGTGTTATTTATAAACCGTAGGGCAGCTGCCCTTATGGCACAAATGTTTTAGGATAATATTTTATTTTGATGAAGATCACATAACTTACATTTGATTTTAATAACATAAGTCTTCTCTTTTTCTGTGATCATTGCATCGGCAGTCCCAAGATTTAAAAGATTTTAAAGTAAATCTTTTGTCCTTCAAAATACAATCCATATTCGAACTTTAAACAATTTAGAGAGAATAGAAATATAAAAGGTTTATATATACTAGTTTGTCTTGTTTTATAAAGAAAAATACATATTCATTAATAAAAAATAGACTGTCATTCAACTAAAACGTGCCTTAGTATTTATTTAACGGAATCTGTAATGTGCGCGTGCATAATGAAATCTCCATTATATAAATATATTTAACGTAATATTAGTGTCATCAGCGGATGTTATAGTCTACTCGTGATTTCTTTACCTTATAATATAACTTGATTTATGAAAAAAATTTATTGAATCGCATGCAGAAGAAATTTAACAAATTGTCTTCATTCAAAAATTGCGAGTAACAGGTAAATTTTTTTTCCTGTGCTGGCCCCCTCCCCCCGCATAACTTAAAAGCAAAGGTATCTATATACCTTTAACTAATAAGAAAAGCAAAAAGTAAAAATTAATGAAGTAATTTTTAGAAAAATACAAATAGATTGTTCATACATTGGCACATTTTTTTTAATATCTCAAAAAAATGTCTTGGTATTTTTGTTATCATGATAACAAAAAATATTAAGACATTTTTTGAGATATTAAAAAAATGCCATCCCTTAATTACAAATTTTTTGCAAATGTTTTTTAATACGAATTTAGTAAAAAACTCTTAAAAAATCTATATTACAAAAAACATTTATATTCTGTATTAATAAGTTTGGAATATAGATTTTTTAAAAGTTTTTTACTGAAAACTTTAAAAAGTTACTACTTTTTGTTAAAAACATTTGCAAAAAATTTGTAGTTAAGGATTGACGAACAATTTTTCATGTTACTAAATATTTGAATAAAAAGTTTAGCATAAAATTAAATGTTATAAAAAGGTATGATATATCAGGATAAAAAGTTACTTCAATATTTTTTAACGTAACTTCTTTTTTGTAATAAATATTTTTACATATCGTTATTCAAAAGTTAATGTGGTTTTTTTAAAAATTAATTACTTCTTTTATGTTACCACTAATTTCAAATTTAAAAAATGATAAAAAGTAGCTTAACCAAAACAGCTCTACGCGTTTGTAAAATCATGCACTATCTATAATTTAATCAAGTTCTCTAATTATTAAAAGTAGGAATAAAGTACCTAAAATATTAATTTAAAAAAACCATCATCAAATTATTTTTATCTATCCTTTAAAAGTATTCATGCTCTTCAAAGTAACTTTTCATCCATTAAATTTTAATTTTTGTAAAATTCAAATTGTTGTTATTTTTGACTATAATGATCGTCACACTGATTGGTTTGGCTCTAGTATCGCTAACCTTGCTGGGTCTTAAACCCAATTATTTTTTAAATTTTCTTATACTTTTTAAATTTTCTTATATTTCTTATAGTAAAAGAACGAAATAAGTGATCGGGAATTGAAAATTTCGTAAAAGTTCCTGGTCTTCAAATTTTGTTTTTCTTGAAAACCATTTCTGCGCGTTTTTTTCCGACCATTCGTAAGAAACTAAAAATTTAAAGACCAGAATTTTTTACAGAATTTTCGATTCACGATCACTTAATTTGCCCCTATTGAACTTTGTGGCTTGTTTTCTCAAAAATCGTAATTACTTACCATCATGCTTCATTTTAATATCTTTTTGATTTGTCTCACATAGTTTTTTCCTCCTTATGCAGCTGTTGTTATGCAGCTGTTGTTATGCAGCTGTTGTTATGCAGCTGTTGTTATGCAGCTGTTGTTATGCAGCTGATATTTCTTCATTTAAATCATTATTATCTTTTTCACAAGAACTCTTTGAAAAACAAACATCTTTTTATTATTGAAAGACATCCATTACAACAAGATGTTGTCAGACAAATCTAGTTGAAATGTCCATTACAACAAGATGTTGTCAGACACATCTAGTTTTAATGTCCAGATTTCTAAATTGTGTAATTTATTTTTAAAATTGAATTCTAAAGAAAGTCTTTTATTATGTAGTAATAATAATTATTTGTAGTTATTATATATATATATATATTGTATTTATTATATATATATATATATATATATATATATATATATATATATATATATATATATATATATATATATATATATATATATATATATATATATATTTATATATATATATATATATATATAAATATATATATATATATATATTTATATATATATATTTATATATATATATATATATATATATATATATATATATATATATTTATATATATATACATATATATTTTTATATATATATATATATTTTATATATATATATATATATATATATTTATATATATATATATATATAATATATATATATATATTTATAAATATATATATATATATTTATATATATATATTTATATATATATATATATATATATATATATATATATATATATATATATATATATATATATATATATATATATATATATATATATATATATATATATATATATATATATATATATATATTTATAAATATATATATATATATTTATATATATATATATATATATATATATATATATATATATATATATATATATATATATACATATTGCCGACCTTTAAGTGTTTGTGATCAGCAAAAAATTGCAGACATTGTTTCTATGTTTTATGGTAAGACCTTTGTATCAAATATTTTTGCTGACCTGATGTCAATGGAAATTATTGGTAACCTCATTTTGCCTAATTCTGAGGGTTGTATATATATATATATATATATATATATATATATATATATATATATATATATATATAATATATATATATATATATATATATATATATATATATATATATGTATATATATATATATATGTATATATATATATATATGTATATATATATATATATATATATATATATATATATATATATATATATATATATATATATATATATATATATATATATATATATATATATATATATATATATATATATATATATATATATATATATATATATATATATGTATATATATATATATATATATATGTATGTATGTATGTATCTATGTATATTTGTGTGTGCATTTTTTTAGTTAAGCAAAAATTTGATTCTTCCCTTTTGTTTGCTGAAAGATCCCTTGCCACACGCCAAGCTCGTTTTTCTCGCAATTTTACGCCTTTGAATTCTACAGAAATTTTGAAAGAAGGAGATATAGTTGGTGTTGATGCAGAATTCGTAACACTTAACCAGGTAGGAACCATGTTTTTTGAAATAGGTTGTTTTTTTTTTCATTAACTGACTGATGCTCTTTTTTATACTGTTTTCAAATTGACGTTTTTATCAAAGTTATGTGGAATACAAGTTTATTATAGTTACAAAATTTGCTCAATTTTAGCAGCAATAGTTACTTTTTTTTATAAAGTATTGTGAAATCAAATTGGTTAATTACAAATTTACATTTACCCCCACACAATCACCTTGCACAAAAAAAATAACTAAGTATACATTATTTTAAATAAAATATATTTATAGAGATCAAAAGTTTCGTATTCAGACCAAAAATGTATATAAAAATGATTATTGTGTTTAAATGCATCTTTAACTTTTTATAAACAACTTTTAAATGTATTTATGTTTTTATTTAGGTTTATGAATGTATTCATGTATGTTTTTTTAGTTTTTTTGTTTTTTTGTTTTTTTTTAATATATAAAATGTTGGTAAGTTAGAAATCTGTTTATAGAAGACTTGTAAAAGTTGTAAGTTGTTAGGGAAACATGAAGACAGAATTTTAAAGTACCAATGTTCAAGAAGAAAAACTCAATAAATAAAAATCTTTTAAACATGAAGTGAAAGGATGCAACTTTACTAAATGACAAGTCATGCAAGATTGAGTTTTGTATAATGGAACAAGTGCTGGTAACTTGCTTAAGCATCAATCCTGGTACTGTTTAATAGAAAAGAGAAAGGAGATTTAACTTTAAAACAATTGGTCAAAAGCTCAAGCTCAGCAGCTTCCATATAACCATAAGCCAGTATTCCATATAACTTTTGTTGCTACACTTTTTTTTTTACTACAAAAAAAAGTAAAAATTTTAATTTAGGGTAGGATATTTAATATATTAATAAGGTATAATTTTCAACTTCTACAAATATCCTTCCCTGAATAAAAAATTTTTGCTTTTTTTTTAATAAGGTATAATTTTCAAGCTTCACAAGGTACAAAATTATATTTCAATAAACCATTTGTCATACAACTCTCAAATTTAAAGGTATAATTTTTTACCTTGGAAAAGGTAAAAAACTGTACTTTACTAAGCGTATATCACACATCCTACTCTAATGTAGTAATTTTGACCTTTTTTTTTAGAGTATAGGTGTAGTATTTATGCAAATTCAAACAAGAATTTGTACACTATGTTCGAAATTTTAACTTATTCTAGGGGTTTGTGTTATAGAAAAATCATTTAGGCATCAAAAGTATTCAACTTTCTGCAACTTATCAGTAACAGTCTTTATTTTTGACATTATTAATATAATGATGTTAAATATATTGATTTTTATTCTTAAAAAATAATTGAATGCTTTTGTGAACTACTATGTACTTTTCTCTACTTAAATAATACAATTTTTAAAAAAAGATCATTTTTTGCAAATAATTGAATTAACAAAGTATCACCCCTCCTCCACATATTATATACCAGGGTTGATATTTGACCGGGACTAGGGCCGGATTTAATAAAATATTGCCGGGGCCGAGGCTGGGTTTGTGACCTAGTTTCTATATTATTTAATCTTTTGTTAGTTACTTTATACAAATTGAATTCCTGGCGCATAGTTGTCTTTTTTTTTTCACAAACTTTTCGAACCTTTCAGCTATAGATTCTGATGACTTTTCTAAACTAGCATTACTATTGCTAAGCTTGTCGTTAATCATAATATTGTTAAGGTTATCATTATCATTAACTTTATCTCCTACTTATGGTATATTTTCAAATATGGGGAAAGTCTCTCATTTAATTCAATAGCTATATTTATCATCTCTTTTTTTAGATGGTATACAAAATAAGTTATTATACATATCACTTTTTAAAGACTGGATTATCTAAAAACCTTAATATACCAACAAGATTGCATTTCTTTCTTTAGCAATATCCTTTCAACCCTTAAGATTGCTAAATAGCAATCTCGGCATCAAGTTCTTTTATAATAAACTTTAACGTGTCATCAGCTGTTAATAATGTTGCTTCCTCTTCTACAAATCATTTCAAAACCTAAAACAATTTTTTCTAAACTTTTTTCTAAGCTTTTAACTACTTTAAACTCATTATTGAACAACATGAGTTTTTCTAAACTGAAGTCCACCAGAGGTTTGCCAACTGCTCTTTTAACTTTAATAAATCTTTGAACCATGGCCAGCATTGAATTCCAACGAGTTTTTGAATCTAAAATAAGCCCTAGCTCTTGTCCAAATTCACTTTTAGAATAAAGTTTCCAAGTGTCCATTTTTAAGGCAGATCTTTTAAAAGTTACAACAGTTAAAACGAACTTTAACCAGAACTTTATGAAGCTCAGGAACAAGAAGCTGAGTAACTCTATTTTTTTCCTCATTATTTTCGTCATCAAAAATATCAAAATCATTTTCAATATCTTATTCATTAGAAATTTGATCATTTTTAACTTTCTTTTTATTAATAACATCAACTACTGCTAATTGTATTGCATGGCAAAACAAAATTGATATTTAGCAGGAGAAATATTTCCAAATTTTTCCATAATGAAAACACCATCTGTTGTTATGCAAACTACATCACTTGAAAGACTAACATTAAACAAGTCTAGTTTTTTGATTAGTACTTTAAGGCAATCATTTGCATTAAACGATCCAATTATTCTCTCTAATCCAAGATTTATAAAACCACTATTAAAGTGAAGATTTATATTCATAAACCTTCTGCCGTATTTTGAATATTCATTTAAATCTACACTGAACTTGAATTCTTTTTTTTTTGTTATTTCAAGTATTTTCTTTTTTTTTTTCTTCAACTATTTCGATATAATATTTATAGATAAGGTTCATGACATCTGTTTTAGATTTTGGTAGACTGTAGCCTTTATTATGAAGCAACTCACGAATTTGATCTGATTCAGGTATTGCTCTTATGGAAAATCCATCAGTAGCAGCAAATTTAGCAAATCGTTCTCCTAATGAAACTTTTTTTATTATAGAATCAATTATAGATTAAACACATCGTTTTTTATTTGGCGGTTCTCCATCTCATTCGTTATTTAAAATAATATTGTGGATTTTCTCTAAATGTCTTTTCAACCCAATGGTTGAACCGCCTTTGCATAATATTAATTTTGGACATTGTTTGCATTGTATCTTAACATTCTTTTTGAGATCAAAAAAAATTTAATCTGATCTCTCTTTTGTAACAGTCTAATGCTTGCAGTGGCTTGTGGATTTAAATTATGGACTTGAAGTCCACAATTTTTTGAGGCAACAAAATTTATTTACTGCAAAAGAATATTGCATTATTGTTGGTATTCCTATATTTACAGATAATAAAAAATATCATAAAGGTTGCATTTCTTTTTTCTACAAATACTATCATGGTCAATGCTCAAACAAGCTATCATCTTTGTTACGATAAACCATAACTCATTCTTAGTTGGCTTCTTATTCAACAAGTTGCATTCTTTTACTGTATCTTCTCTTCATGCTATAAAAACTTTTATTAATCCAGAATTTTGCCTTGCGCATCAAAAAAGCCTTATAACTCTTCCCAATCTTCATGTTTTTTTTTAAATACATACAGTTAACTATTTTTTAGTATTTTAACCTATCCTCTAATTTAAAGTAGCTTATAACTCAATAGTGGTTGCTTGCAATCTATAAATATATGTCAGTATATAATATATATAAATATATGTCAGTATATAATAATTAGTAAATGAAAGTATGAAATTAAAATACAAAAAGTATTATAAACTTTTTTCTAGCCCCGGCTAGAAAAAAGTTTATAATACTTTTTGTAACCCCTGCTATATCTTATAATTTTGAAAAAAAAAAGTTTATAATACTTTTATCAACCCCTGCTATATCTTATAATTTTGCCGGGGCCGGGTTTGCAAAAAGTCTCATTTTTAGTCGGGGCCTCGGACACTAATTACCTCCACACACCCATTGATATAGCCTTGTGTAGAAAAAATGAGAAGAGTGTTATAGCGTAATGAACCTATAGAAGGATGTAGAATATAATATGATGGTTTTACTAATGTATTATTCATTGCGGAGAAAACGTACTACTACGTAATCGCTTTAGTAGTGCAAACCGTAAAGCCTGTATTAGTGCAGACAATGTAGGGGGAAAAACAGGCCAATTAAAAATTTAAAAAGTACCTTAAAATTATTTTAATTTCAGGAAGAATCAGAAATGCGACGAGATGGTACATTATCTACATTACGTCCAAGTCAAATGAGCGTTGCTAGAATTACTGTAGTTCGAGGGTAAATAAAATATTGCGTTTTATGTAATTAGATGTAATTAAAAAATTTTTGTATTAATAAAAGTTTAAATTTAGGTGGGGACCATTGACAGGTGTTCCGTTCATCGACGATTATATATCAACATCAGAACAGGTATTCAATATAGTTAAACGTTTTGCTTAGAAATAAACTTTTGAAACAAATGTATTTTGATAATTAATTTAATGATAGGTAGTTGATTACTTAACGAAATTCTCCGGCATTAAACCTGGTGATTTAGACGCATCTATGTCTTCGAAACATTTGACAACATTGAAGTTAGCTTACCAAAAGTTACGTTATTTGATTGCTCAAAAAGTAGTCTTTATCGGTCACGGATTAAAAAAAGATTTTAGAGTTATAAATTTAGTTGTAAGTTTATTTTATTTCATTTTACTTGACAAAAAACAATGTGTTTGGTGGAATACAGTGTATACAAAAAAGTTACGTTATTTGATTGCTCAAAAAGTAGTCTTTATCGGTCACGGATTAAAAAAAGATTTTAGAGTTATAAATTTAGTTGTAAGTTTATTTTATTTCATTTTACTTGACAAAAAACAATGTGTTTGGTGGAATACAGTGTATACAAAAAAATTATTTTAGAATTTATTTTAACAAATCTTCATAGCGCTCTTAATAAAATCTTGTTTGAACAAACAATCTCCTAACTTTGGCTCAAACTAACCTTATATTTTTAAATTGAATGTTGCTTTTTTTATAACAGTTAACTTTTCTTTTCAATTATATTATATTTTGGATTTCTTGTAGATACCACGTGATCAAGTAGTGGACACTGTTGAGTTATTTCATATCCCTAAACAACGTTATGTTTCATTAAAATTTTTAGCTTGGCACTTTTTAAGTAAGTTTTACACTTAGAATTATTATTTATATAGATATTAATATTTAAGTTTTTTTTATTTATAAATTAAATAGTTTCTATGTAACAATAAAAATGAATTAAATAATATAAATATAATAAAGCATAAATTAAATAGTTGAGATTAAATTTATATTAGGAATAAGTAGAATATTTTGAGAAAAAAATTTTTTTTGTATTTGCATATAGATATAAAGATTCAGGCGGATTGCCATGATAGTGCTGAAGATGCTTACACGGCGCTGAAGTTGTACGAAAAATACCGTGAGTTATTGCGTGCAGGAGAGTGGGTACTTGAAGAGGAGTTAGAGATTTTATACGACACAGGAAGGCAATACAACTGGCAAGTTCCTGAGTGATTAAGTAAAGCTAACCTAATAATACACAGAATATTTTCTCAAAGACAACTGTGATTGTTCTTTACTCCACATTATGTATATATTGACTACCAAAATGCTATAAATGTATTTTCGTATTTATGTATCGATTTGAAAAGTACTATATGGAAAAAAATTTATTTGTAAAAGTTCGAATTAATAAAAGGATTTAATACCATTTAAGCACCTAAAAAACTTTAAATCAAATATTAAATCAAGTTTTCCGACCAGTGCGTGCATCAAGTCGTACCTTTTGATTTTCATGCTACTTCATTTATGTTTACAAAATTTGCATATTTTAAGGACGATTTTTAAGTAAAAGTTTATTAATTTAGTTGTTTGTTTGTTTTTTTTTAATTTCAAAAACTCCACCAGTTTAGAGCTGTAAATTAACACAAACAACCTTCCTTACGGTAACAAACAACTTTTTCAGTATGTTTGTTTTATCATAATTTTTCTTCTAGTCACGTGACCAATGTTAGATAATTTGAGTTAACTTGTTAATTTTTAAAGTTAACTTGTTAATTTTAAAAGTTGATTTTTTATTAATAAACAACAAAACTTTTGATTAATAAAAATTTGAAACATTTACTCTAGCATGTTGAACATTTTAGAAAAAAAATTTTGTAAAAAAAATTTCTATCAAATCTTTAAAATCTTATTGCGTTCAAATGTTTCTATTTATTGCTATAATGTTTTAAACATTTTTTTTTTAATAAATATGCAAAATAAAACCTCCTTCACACAGGACAGCGTTTTCTCTTCAGCGTATCCTTTTGCGTTTTCTGCCTCTAATTTTATAGAATTTTAAAAGCTACCAACTGCTTTAACTTGAGTAACACAAAATAAACGTCGCAAAAAAACATCCGTTGAAAAGTTCGAGGTTCGAAGACCTCCGAGGTGTAACTACACCTCGAAGGTCACCAATTATTTAGCAATTATTGAAGCTGAGTTAAATTTTAAAAGCGAAAAAGAAAAAAATTGGACGTATAAAATTACATTAATGATATTTATATATAGTAAAATCCAAGTAAGTCAAACACTGGTTAACCTGAACTTTTGTTATCTCGAATAACAAAGTATTGTCAAAATATTTTGCTTAAGTGGAACATCGGATAACTCGAACTTTGTTAAGTTTTACAGGGTTTTGCAAAGTTATAAGTGCATTTACATTTTTTTGGAAATTATTTTTTTAGCTTTAATAATATTGCGCAAAATATTAAATTAAATTACAGCATAGCAATCAATAAGTGTTTTTTTTTTAAAGTGATTAGTTAGTGAAAATTCTTTACATTTTTACTTAATTTAGCATATTGTTATATATCAATAACTTTTCTAGATTAGATACTTTCATAATTTTTAAAAGATCGTATACATTATTTAATCATAATATTTTAAATAGGCATGCAAAAATATACATTATTAAAAAAATAAACAAATCATTTCAATTAAATAAATTTTTCTCTTCTCATTGCCTTTTCCAACCATCTTCTCATATTTATATAAAAGGCATTGCACTGTTGACTATAATTATTATCAGGCGATAAAATATATTCTTCAACAGTCATATCGGGATTAGCATTTCTCGTGGATTTGAAATTGGATTTTAACATTGAAAAGAACTCTTCGATTAGGTTAAATTCAGGGGAGTATGGTACTAAAAACTTGTGAGTAATATTTTTTTCTATTAGTAATTGAAGTACTGCAGCTGCTTTATGAAATTTTGCATTATCTAGGATAAGAATTTTATTTGGATTTACTGCAAAGAATGGTACTAGTTTGTTGTTGATGAAATCAATAAATGATTGTGTATTGTATGCGCCGCTTTTGTATTGGTAACGATCAACTCCTAAATTGGAAATTAAGCACATGAGGCTAACATTCTGTCCTTTACTTGCAGGAACTGTCAAGTACGCTTTTTTATCTTTTGGAGGATAGCCATATGAACGCACTGTATGTTTATTGAATCCGGTTTCGTCTAAAAAAACCAAATTTGAATCATCAATTCTAGGAACTTCTGCCGCAAAAATTGATCTCTGGATTATTCTTTCCATGGTGTTTCTTTCTTGAGGAATGATTGTTAATCTTTTTCGTGTCAAATTTAATTTCTTTAATTTACGGGAAACAAAGGAGATTTAAACGTTTTTACCATGTTGTTCTAAAATTTGCGTTTGAATTTCTTTTTGAACTACGGCAGTGTTACAGACCACGGAATTAAATATTGTCTGTTCAATGTTTGTTTTTATAGAATTTTTGATTTTATACGTTTCTTTTATTTTTACTGTAGATGACGTGAAGGGTATATTATTATCACTATTTTTTATAACACGACAGCATTTCGAGTTAAATTACAAGCGTTGGATATTTCCTTGATTGAATATTTTTCACAATTTCTCAATGAAATAATCGTATTTTTAGTTTCTTCTGTAATTGTTTTCCGTACTTTTCTTTCCATTGATACTTAAAATATAAGAGTTAAAATTAATTTTATAAATGCACTTATAACTTTGCAAAACCCTCTATTAAAAAATGAGATTTAATTAAGTTAGCTTTTTTTATATTTAACTCGATAAGTTACGATAATTATATTACTTGAAAATTTTGTATATGAAAAAATATGTTTTTGATTTTTAAGAAGAATTTACCAAATCGAACCATTTTTTTGTTTTTTTCTCTATCTGCAAATTTCTTCGGATAGAAATTCGAACTTTTCTTACGTGAAATAAGGAAATTAAACTTTTTTTATCTTGAATTGTTTTTTTTTTTTTGTATAATAATTAAAAAGTTTACTTTTAAATAATAAAATTTAAAAATGTTACAGTTTGAGAAATTTGGTCTTGGATTATCGTGTCGTCATAAAAGTGATAGGGGAGATCTATTACAACAAAAAATCAACTCCTGAAACAATGAAAATAAGTTAAGAAAATCACAGGATATTCATCGCAAAATCATGAATTGCAAATTCATGAATAAACAAAAAATATATATATATAAAATCTTTTAAATACATGACCCACTTGAAAAACCTATTGACTAGGGTTTTAACCGATAATCGAAAACCGCGGTTTTTTGTCAAACCGATTTAAATGAAAACCGTCGGTTTTCAAAAACGGTTTAGGCTGTTTTTTTGTATAAAGTCTTTTGAATGTTTATTTATTATAGAAAATTATAAAAAATCAAATTTGTAAGTAACTAAATTTTTTATTTTATTATTTAAATTTCATTTTGCTGGAAAGATTAACATGTCTTTCCATTTTCAAAATTATTCAAGTATTTCAAAAAAAATGTTCGAATATAGAATAAAACACGCAAATATATTCAAATAAAACACTTAAATATATTCAAATATACAGTATAAACAGTATTCCAACACTCAAATAGGATAACCTATTCTTTATATTAAAAATTTTTATTCCTTAAAAAACATAAGGATATTTTAAGTGCATATTTTTGTTCAACAAAATATTTACGCATAGGTATGTAATAAAAATATACACGATAATGTTTCTATGAACTATTTATTCTTTTGAAAATATATTTATCTTTCAGATAAATCATGTCATCTTGAAGTTCAATCATGTCAATCATGAAGTTTGCTGTCTGGCATAATTTTCTAAATTCAAGAGTGAACACATTTGCATACGGTTGAGATTGCATATTGAGATACGGTTTTGTTGTAACATACTCCGGTGGATCCACAACTACTTTGCGGAATCATACTTTGAGTCATGAAATTACTATCAATAGTCTTTCGACTGGAGAATCAAGCAGCAGCTCAAATCCACCACCTTAAAAATTAAATTAAAACTATGGAAAGTTATTTACAAAAAACGAGCGTTAAAGAAATTGTAACTGATCCAGCTACAGATGGTGTTTCAATTAATAATAAAATGGTGTCAACATATAAAACTGGCCTCATTAGAATTTATAATTCCTATCCAGCTGAAAGTTTAATAGAAAATATTAAGGATCATTTGAATTCATTTGGTCTCTTTATTAAAAGAAATGTAGTAGGTTCTACTCAAGATGGTGGAGCAATCAAAAAGAAGCTCGTGCAATTAACGGACATTGTTGATCAGTTTTATTTTAATCATGCAATTCATCTTAGTGCATGTGACACGTTATACAAGAAAAATAAAGACTCAAACAGAATCACTGTCTATTTCTAAGAAATCAGACAGTGATTCAGAAGAGGATAAACATGGAATTTATGACGATGATTTTAGGTTTGAATCGGTAAACAACGAGATTAATGTTGACTACTCTGAAATTTTGACTAATGCAAAAAAGTAGTGAAATTCATGAAATTCTCATCAGTTCCTAATTAAAATTTTAAGAAAAAAGTTACTGAGGAATTTGGTAAAGAAATCGAACTGCATCTGGATGTTCGTCATCGTTGAAATTCATTTTTTTTAATGACTGCGTCTTTGTTAAAAGTTAAGAAATGTTTATCCCGACATTTACTGAATTAAATGCTCTTAATGTAATCAACAAGCTGGATTTTGAGTCATTAGCTTCATTACATGCAGTTTTAGAGCCAAAAAAACTAGCAGTGGAATTCCATTGCAGAGAAGATTATCGACGTTATCGACAGCAGGTACTGTCCTCGAATTCATGCATCAATCGTATCTTTATTGCATTTAAATTAAAAAAGCGCGTCAAAGAAAGAATTAACGGAAATCTTACGCAGTTGTTTAGGTGCCTAAAAGATCCTTTTGTTGTTCCATTAAAAAATACTTTATATTTTGCTGGAAAACTTGCATTTAGGCTTTTTGGATTTACTTTTAATGACAAGGAACCACTACTAGCTGAAGCACCATGCACAACATTGGAAAGTCTACCTATTGGATGAAATAAATGCTCTTCTCAATAAAGATTGCATCACACACTTGACTAAATCTACTGATCAAATCAAATGGCTTAAGAAAGAGTTTTTGTTGTACCGCAAGAGGAGCAAAATAACAGTAAATCTTGAAAATATTTAAAATGCGGTTTTCTCTATAAAGCCCCCAATCAACAGATGTCGAACGCATTTTTTCGAGCTGCACTTTTTATGACACGATTTTTGTTTCTGCACAAAAAACAGATTACGATTATCTGATAAATTGTTAAAATATTTTCTTAACATTTTTTGGCAATAAAAATAAGT